GAGAGAGAGAGAGAGAGAGAGAGAGAGAGAGAGAGAGAGAGAGAGAGAGAGAGAGAGAATAAAGGTTTCTATCTGCCAAGGCTCCAGACTGATTTCTAGCGTGAAAAACTGGATCAGTCTGAATAACTGACTCCACATAATTATTCCATTGACCAGTGAATGACCTACATACACACACATACACCATTTGTTTTTGACAACCTCTAAATGTCATCATTACTTTTTCTATTCTAGATCATTTACAAGAAAAGATATGGCCCCATGTGGAAGTCTGTTTATGGTCCTTATTTTAATATTAATATTGGAAGTCCAGAAATCTTAGAGGAGCTGTTACGTCAGGAAGGAAAATACCCAATACGGAGTGACATGGTCCTTTGGAAAGAACATCGAGACGTACGGCACTTATCGTATGGCCCCTTCACTGAGTGAGTGTCAAGCAGTTACCTACCACAAATCTATCCAGAAATTAAACAAAGAAAGAGACTTCTAATATGAATTCACATAGATTTGCAGGTACGCCCAAGGCTTATCTATAATCTGCACATAAGAAGCTGTCCCTCAAAAAAGTTAATTAATATATTGGCTAGCTCCAGTACAACCTGTACGATGAAATGTGCACCTTTCCTTAGGCAAAATTAAGAAAACTTAACTCAAGCCTGCCTAGCAGGCATGGAAGGTATTATGTTTTTCAGATATCTGGTACAGCAGCTCACATTTCATTTTAATTCCTGAGAATGCTTGCATAATTACTCAAAGCAACTCATTTCTTTGGGGAAGCTGAATTAAACTCTGTGCTTCTTAAGGCTAATTTCTGAGCATGGCTTGTGCAGCCACTGTTTGGATCTGTAAGGGAGAAGATATAAATATTATTTAAACAGTATTTTTTTCAGAAATGTCATGTAAGTCTTAGCAATACTGTAGATCTTTGACCTAAATAACAGTATTGTGCAAATTCTCCAAATGTCTTCTAATCAGTAGCACCCACTATCATTTAGATTATAACTCTTATGGTTGCTATTGTGCAAGTTATTTCTGTTAAATTTCAAAAAGATTAGAATTAATCTTTTTTTAAAAGAAACTTCATAACTTGTTGGGAATGTGGGATGCATGCTTATGTGTGTGTGTAAATATATTCACAAACATATAAAACAAAACATTTGTATATACAATATACAGATGCCTAACCTGTTATAACAAAAAGGTGCCTTGAAGAGAAAAAGAAGAAAAATTTACTGTACCTGGAAAATAAAAAATAAAGAGGAAAAAAAATGCTAGAAAGTGTGTCTGGTGTGTGTGTGCGTGTGTAAAAGAACCCCTATAAACAAAATAGAGACTTAACCACACCTAGCTGGTTTAGTTAAGTCCGCTAGTGAACTCTCTGAATAGATTCTAGTAATGCATCTGATTCCACATATGCTCCAAATGTGTAGTGGGCTGTGAGAATATTGTAACCCTAATATAGATAGCCTCTGAAGGAGAAAGACAGGAGGAAGAGCCAAAGCTTAGACCACACTCTAATAAACTAACTCTAAGCCCAAACCAGAAATGTAATTTAATAAAGCATCTCAAAATTGACCCCCCCTACTTCTGTAGAAAGTAAAGGGAAGGGAAGGGAAGGGAGAAGTGCTGTCAGACCTGCAAGATTCTCTTACTGTAACCTTACAATAAAGTAAAGGTAAAGGTTTTTCTGTCCAGTTGTGTCTGATTCTAGGGCAGTGTGCTCATTTCTGTTTCTTGGTTGAGGGAGCCAGCGTTGTCCAAATGGCCATGTGGCCAGCGTGGTTATACGCCAAAGGCACACGGAATGCTGTTATCTTCCCACCGAAGTGGTACCTATTAATCTGCTCACATTCGCATGGTTTCAAACTGCTAGGAGCTGGGGCAAGAGCTTACCCAGTTGTGTGGCACTCAGGTCTTGAACCTGGACTGTCAACTTTCCAGCTGATAAGTTCAGTGTGTCTTTAACCACAGAGCCAGATAGTATTAGTATTCGCAGTTTTGGTTTCCTGTCTGGACTAATTCAAAGGGCTAACAAAACATGTCTCACATTCTTAGGGATGGAGAACGGTGGCACCGTCTTCGGCAGGTGTTGAACAAGAGGATGCTCAAGCCTTCAGAGGCTATGCTGTATGCAGATTCCCTCAATGAAGTGGTGTCTGATCTCATAGTGCACCTTGAAGAGGAGAGAAGAAAAAGTTCCTCAGGAGTAAAAGTGGAAGATATGGCCAACCTACTGTACCAATTTGCCTTAGAAGGTATGTTTGTAGCTTGTGGTGATGCCACAAATGAGCTAGGAGTTCTTTTATTTCTGAGGCTGTTTCTTGTACGGGATGTTCTTATGACTTGTTTAGCCAGTTGTTTCTGAATCATCTGAGCTTTGGGAAGTTCTATGACCCGAAACAATAAAATAGCCACAAATGGGTCTGGCTGCTTTGTGGTTCAGTGCTATCATGTGAGCACAGTCACAATAAAGCTGAATATAAGATCTTATGATTCCAGGCAAGGTTTGGATTGGCTTGGATTTTAAAAGGAAGTAGGATCAAATGTAAAGCTGAACATTATCACTGCTGCATGCACCAAGGGGGAAATTGTTTCTTCCTTCCTCCACAAAATTCATGAAGAAAACTCCTTTTCTTAAGATTGTGGTTGTACCAGAAGAAAAGGTTGCATGCAGAAATATTTTGTTTAGAACTGCAGTAGAGGGGGAAGATTACATTCCTCCTGCTTAGCTGTTCCTCATTATAGACATTGTAGGAAGAAAATTGGTTAGTCTATGGTGGCCAAAAAGCAGGAAAAATCTAGTAGTACATTCCTTTTTGACACATTTTATTAAAAGGCATAACCTTCAGCTTACTTCATCAGAGGCACAAAATGACTAGGTTGACGATGAATGTATGTAGGATTGAAATTTGGGTGAGACAAATCTATCTATCTCTATCTACCTATCTACCTATCTACCTATCTATCTATCTATCTATCTATCTATCTATCTATCTATCTATCTATCTATCTATCTATCTATCTATCTATCTATCTAATCTATCTATTCCCACAAAGATATAAAGGGGATGAAAGTTGACCAGTAGGATTCAGCCAAAGCAATTTATCGCAAGATTCAAGTAAAGATTCCCATTTTCATTTATGAGACAGAGCCTTCAGAACAGACACCATGCTTCCAAGCAGAGAGAATATCACTCCCTGGCGAGTTTGAGTCCACTGTCTACAAATATTGTCTAGTTATCAGTATGGCCATTGTATATATCCTGCCCACTGGACTGCCATCCATTTCAGTACTTCTATACAAATCAGAAGCATAACCACAATAGTTTTCATTATGACTAATGGCATTCTTCCCACATCACATCTTTATCTGATCCATTTCTTTCTAGACTGCAGCTTTCTTTTCCTACGGGCTGCCATTTTGCATAATTACATGACTCAACTGTATTTTTTCACCTCCAGGTATCTCCTATATTCTCTTTGAGACCCGCATTGGCTGTCTAGAGAAACAGATACCCGCTGAAACAAAAAAATTCATTGATGCTATTGGATATATGTTCAAGAATTCTGTCTTTGTCACCTTCCTACCCAAATGGACACGGAACATGCTGCCTTTCTTTGACCGCTACCTACAAGGCTGGGATATTATCTTTGCCTTTGGTACGTGAGTGAGTAGGATTTGGGAATAATTCTCTGGATTTTTGGTCAAATCAGCTTGATGTCATCGAAGGAGCTGACATTTGTCTTGTGTTCCTCTTGGGGAATTTGTATTTCTTTTAAGCTGTTTTGTATAGCCAAGGAATCAATGGATGAAAATCTGTCCATTGTAATGGCTATTGTCTTGCTAGTCTTGCTAGTCTCAATATTGTGTAACTGAAGCTCTTTCATGCTATAGGAAAAAAACTGATTGATCAGAAGACTTTGGATTTAGAGAAGCGTCTGGAACGGGGTGAGGAAGTTTCAGGATACTTGACATTCTTGCTTGCCAGCGGGCAGCTTAGTCATGAAGAGATATATGGAAGCATAACTGAGCTGCTATTGGCTGGTGTTGACACGGTAGGACATTGACTTCCTATTCTTCCTATAAGGATGCCCGGACGCTTTGAGCAAAAGTGATGGCAAAGGCTTGTCATGTTGTTGAGCATGTTGTCCCCTGCTGATCAGCCTATATTCCTCACAATGCTGCTTGAAAACCCAAATATGCACTAGAACAGTGATGGCAACCTATAACGTAAGTGTCAAAGATGACACACCACAGTGTTTTGCCCATGTTCACTAAGAGCTGGCAACTTTTCTTGAAAGCATGCCTGGTTCTCATGTGATATTCTGACTCTGAAGAGAGTGGGCGGGGGGGGGATGCTGTCGTGCAGACGCTGGACCTTCTGAAAATCATGTTAGAATGGGGCATGCTTTCACACAATTTTCAGAGGCTGCAGAAGCCACAGGAGATGATTCTTTGCAGTTGCTTCAAGATCAAAAGCCTCGTGTAACCCAGAGCAGCCTCAGGTAGACCGCAGGGGCCTGTCAACAGAAAGAGAACATCACCTAAACATAAGCAGTATGTGGCAGATCCTAGGGACTGCTGGGCTGCAGGCAAATGGTGTGAAGTGGTCTTTTTGAGTAGCAGTAGTGGCACTAGGGCTGAAGTCAAGACCCGGGCCTCTATTTCAGGCCCGGGGATGGGGCAGAGCAGGGGCGGGGCAGGGGGTGGAGTGGGGGCGGGGCCAGGTTTTGGCCACTCGGTCTCTAAAAGGTTCACCATCACTGTTCTAGAGCATAAACACACAGGAAGCTATTTTGTACAAAGTCAGATTCTTTTGTCTACTTGCTGAATTGTCTGTTTTATTTACTATATTTTTGTACTAACACCCTCCACAAGGCTGATGGTGATGCACAGTTGTTAGCATTTTAAGTGACAATAGTTTGCTGGTTTCCTGAGACCCTTTCCATCCCGTTTTCTGATTCTCTAACCTTGAGTAATATCATTTTGAACCTGTTGCCTGTTCTGCCTAAAGCATGAGTTCTACCCTGAACAATGAGCCTTCCCCCCAAATGTCTGGAAAAAAATCAGCTGTTACAAAAGGTTTGAGGACCGTGGCTGAGAATAAGATTCCTTTTTTTAATCTTCCTTTTCAGTATGAGTGAATATCTGAAAAATCTTACAAGTCTTGACTTTGAATATCTTGTATAGCATTTTTATTTAATTACCACATTCGTGTTCCGTCCTTCTTCTAAATTAGAGATTCAGACTTAGGAATAAGCTTGAATTGTAAGGGGAACTCTCTACAAATTCATCAAGAACAGCCTATCAGAAACAGATAGGCTCATTGAAAAAAGAAGAAGGGGAACAGTTACATTTCTAATTTTGAGGAATGTGTCAGTATAGCAAACTGCCATGTTTTATTTATCATACAGTGTTGGGAGAGAAATTTGGCTCTGACAATCTAACCTTTATAACAGGACTCTGAGAACCCACCTCTGTTCCAAGATCCTGTCTAGGGATTTCTACCCAGAGGGACCATTTTCACAAGTGATGCACCTGCGGCAATTTGCAGCAGTGACACCCCTACAGTGAAATCATTATGCAAATGCCTTTATAAATGTGCATCCCAGTGCCTGACACAAGACATAAGTCACAGCATTTGTGATGGTGTCATCACACTCATACGTGTTCATCCCCCTGCCCAGAGCGGATGCCTGTCACTTTCACTCTCTTGTTTGGTCTTTTCAGACATCCAATACTCTGTCTTGGTGTTTGTACCATCTGGCTAAAAATCCAGACATCCAGGAAGCTTTGTACCAGGAAATAGCCAAAGAACTACCCACAGGCCAAATCCCTGGAGCCAAAAACATCACCAAGATGCCTCTGCTTAAGGCAGTAATCAAGGAGACTCTCAGGTATTTGAGCAAAGAAGCAGGATGCAGTCTTAAACCTCAGATCAAGGATGGAATAGCCACTGCTGCAACTTTGTACCCTGGTCACTTTGCCCAAGGTTTCAAAGAAACTACCAATAGCTCTCAAGTTACAACCAGAATGGAGCTTGCACCATTATTACGATCCAATTTCATTCAGTGGGTTGTTAAGCAAATCCTCATGGGCATTAAGCAAATCAATTGCTTGCCCTGGGTGCAGTTTGTCGAAAACGGGAAGTGCCGGTTTTCAACAAAACCGTACCAAAGCGCAGTCATATTCAGCCTTATACAGCCATATGCTGAGTGCCTGAAGGTTGTGACTGCTGGGGGGGGGGAGCGACTGTCAGAACTTCAGATCTGGGTTATAAGTAACTCCAAGGTAAGTTGATGACAAGTCGAGGGCTACCTGTATTCATAAGAATGTGAGAGCAGACTGGAAGCCTTGCAAATGCAAAATTCTGGACCGCCTGAGGTGTTCAGGAAATGGGGAAGCACAAACAGAATATTTGTCAGTCCCCAGAAAATCAATACAGTATTTTCCCCAATTTTCATGTATGCTTCTGTGGGGGGCCCTGTGGCTTTTGTATTTGTGTATGCTTGCCATTAAGGTAGTCTTGACTCCTGATGACTGCATTGGTCTGAAAGGAGATTGTTCTGAGTTGTAGCTGGGTCAGGACTTTTCTGCCAGTTAAGATCAACACACTATAATCACCTTTTTACAATGCTCTCTTAGGATCTGGCATTCTTTACTAAAAAAAAGGGGTTCTTTTCTCCCTTTTGTTTATTTGTATGCCTTCGAATTGACTTGTAGCAACGGCTTGGACTAGTCCGCAGTTTTCTTAGCAAAGTTTTTCAGGAGTGGTTTGCCATTGCCTCCTTCCTAGAGCTGGGAATGAGTAACTGGCCCAAGGTCATCAAGCTGGCTTTGTGCCTAAGGGAGGACCAGAATTCGTGGCCTCTTGTTTTCAAGCCTCATGCTCTTAACCACTACACCAGATTGCTTCTCACCTCTGCCTTAGAGTTTCTAAAAGGCTTTGCATGTTTATCCAATTAACTTCAGAAGCTAATGAACATGACTCCTGATCCAGCAAAAATACTACAAAGGGCGCTCTACAATAATCATTTGTATTGTAACTCTGCCCAGAGGGTTCCTCATCAGCAGGAACTGAATCCTCGGCTCCTGGAGCTCCCATTTTTGTCCCAAAGCAAAAGTACCATCGCATTGGACTAACGTTTAATTCTTGCTTTTGGCTGCTCTGCCTGGTTTTTCAAATCTTCTTTCCTTGCCACAGAACAAATGCAGGGAGGGAAGAACGAGAAAGGGGAAGGCCACTTTTTGTGACTCCCTGGTGGCCAGCAGACCTGTGTGTCTGCTTCAAAAGAGTGAGAGGACACATACAGTAGTATAAAAATGCTGCTAATGGTTCGTGGGTAGAACCAGCCCTCCTGTGGAAAAAGCCTAGGTCAGTGAAGACGAACCTATGACACGTGTCAAAAGTGACACACCGCACTGTTTTGGGTGACACCAATATTCATTCACCAACATCTGTCAATAGTTATTCTCAAAAGCATGCCCAGTTCTCACATGATTTTTCAGAGGCTGAGAAGGCCGTGTGAGAACAGGGTGGTGTTCTCACATTGTCAACTTTGAAAATGAGCACGGTTACAGCCATTTTCCCCTACTCATTTTCGGTTGACACATAGCACGGAGGGAGGGGGGTTTACCGGGTGCTTCGCTAGACAAAACAGACTTTCTCCCATGGGAACCAAGGTCATTGGCTGCTCCCGGGATTGCAGGCTGGGCGTTTAATGAAAAAGCCGCCAAGAGGTTGTATTGGGGAACGTAGTAGCTTGCATAGCTTTAGGGGTGGGATTTCTTAACTTTGTATTAGGGATTGTTACGTGTCTATTCAGACTTGGTTTCAATTTTGACGTGCCAATACTTTGTATCAATAAACATGTTCTTTGAGGAACTTGCAAGCCTCGGAGTTCTGCTTGATTTGTCTCTGTCTGTCGGAACCATGACACACACGGCCTCTGGAGACTCAAAAAAAAAATCACATGAGAATGGTACGTGCTTTTGCATGATTTTCAGAGGTTGCAGAGGCCATGAAAGAGTAGTCTCCAAAGCCACTTCAAGGACAAAGACCTCAGGTGACCTGGAGCTATCTTACCGATAGGTAGGCCTCAGGGACCTGTCAACAGAAGAACATTGCTTGAAGTGAAGGGAGATGCAGCAGATCCTGGAGATCAAGTCCCCCACTTGAAGGGCATGCAGCAGATCCTGGAGAGCCATATAACATTGGACGGTGTATTTTTTGAAAATAAATTAATATGAAAGAATTGTTTTTCTTTTATTGGGGCTAGGGTGATGTGCCAGCAGAGCCATGTAGGCATTTTCCAAATTTTCAACATGCCAAACCCAAAAGGATTGCTATCCCTGGCCTAGGTCAGGGGTAGGCAACCTCGGCTCTTTTATGACTCATGGACTTCAACTCCCAGAATTTCTGAGTCAGCTATGCTGAAGTCCATGAGTCATAAAAGAGCCGAGGTTGCCTACCCTTGGCCTATGTCGTTAGGGGTCTCTTCCTGTTGTTCCGTGCTGCCTACTGATCTGCCACTTCCCCTTTATAGGCTTTATCCTGTGGTCCCCACCAACGCACGGATTATTGCGGAGAAGGAAGTTGTCATTCAAGGATACAAGTTCCCAAAGAATGTAAGTACTGGTGTATTATCGATCTTGCAACCAGGAAATCTCTAAGTGATTTGGGCTTAGTAACCGGAAAGAACGTGAAACGTAACGCTATCATTGGGATAGTATAGGCAGATAGTAGGAATGCTAGCATCCACCAGGAATGTCAGTCCATCGTAGGCAGAGCTAGGCAAAAGTCTAGGAAAATGCACAGGTTGGAATATATAAGGGTCAAAGATTACATTAGAAAGCAATTTTATTTTTTAGATATTTTTTTCTATGGGATGTAAAACAACCTGTGCAGTCTGAGAACTCACTCCTTGGCCAATACCAACAGCTGTTGAAGACAGAGACTCTGTTCCTGTTGCACATACACCATAGAGCAGTGGTTCTCAACCTTTTTAATGCCGCGACCCCCAACCGGTCGTAAGTCGAGGACTAAACCGGTCGTAAGTCGAGGACTACCCAACCGGTCGTAAGTCAAGGACTTTCCCTGCCCGGGAGCGCCGTGCATGTGTGGTTCCGCCCCCTGCGCCGGCTGAGGCATAGCTGGCAAGCGGCAGAGATGGAGCAGGCCGACCACCAGCTGGCCCAGCTCAAGGGAGGTAAGGCACCTGCCGGAAAAGGGGAAAAAATGGCGGACAGCCTTGCTTGGCGACCCTCGTGAAATGGTTGATTGACCCCAAATGGGGTCGCGACCCATAGGTTGAGAACCGCTGCCATAGAGCTTGATCTTTGTCTACTGACAGCCTTTGTATTTTGGAAAAACGCCAGTATTCTATCATCTCCCACACGAAAGGGATCCCACTATAGACTCTGCCCATGTTTGTTGCCACCATCATAGATCTGCCTGAGGAAGAACCTTGTTGAAGACCAGTATATCTCCGTTGGCTTATTCAGAAATCCTTTTTCTAATTTTCTGTGCTTTCCATTGGGCTTAGAGCCTCTTTGTCCTGGCTCACTACAGCATCTCACACGATGAGAACAACTTTCCAGAGCCAGAATGCTTCCGGCCGTACCGCTGGTTGCGAGACCAGAGAGAGGTGTCTCCTCACCCCTTCAGTTCCATTCCCTTTGGTTATGGAGTACGTGCCTGTGCAGGGCGTCGCATTGCTGAACTTGAAATGCATCTGGCTCTTATCAGGGTAAGTAAAGTAATTTCTGTGTGTAAGGGTACATGGGACAGCCTCTGTATGATTAGCCACAAAATATAGTGAAATTCCAACTCTGAATTTCTGAGATTTGATTTCTGTCCATAGGTGGAATTCCCCCTACTTTTTTTTATGGGAAATATACATTTCCTAGTGTTTTCCCAGAAGGTGGAAGGTGAAAGTTACAACCGGTCATTGCACTTGCAATCACTGCAGCATTCCTTCAGGGGCTTGGCAACTGGCATGTATTTATGACAGTTGCAGTCTCCCAGGGTCATGTGATTGCCATTTGCAACCTTCACAGTCAGCTTCTGATAAGCAAAGTCAGGGGGGAAGCTGGACTCATTTAACCACTGCATGATTCACTTAACAAATCATAGAATTATAGGGCTGAAAGGGATCTTGGAGGTCTTCTAGTCCAACCCCCTGCCCACAGCAGACGTCCTTATACCATCCCAGACAAAAGGTTGTCCAGTGCTTTCTTGAAAATCTCCGGCGATGGAGCACTCACAACTCTGGGAGGCAAGCTGTTCCATTGATTATTATTCGTACTATCAGGAAATTCCTCCATTTTTTTCCAGGTTGAATTTCCCTCTGATGAGCTTCCAACCATTGCTTCTTGTTCTGCCTTCAGGTGGTATGGAGAATAAATTGATGCCCTCTTCCCTGTGAGAGTCCCACAAATATTGGGAGACTATTATTATGTCTCCCTTGAGCCTCCTCTTCATTAGGCTAAACTTATCTAGTTCTCTTGATTGTTCATCATATGATTTAGCCTCCAGACCCCTTATCAACTACGTTGCTCTTCTCTAAATTACGTAAGAACCAATTATGGCAAAAAAGGTCACAAAATCGAGTGTAACTCACTTGTAACAGCCATTTTGTTTAGCAACAGAAATTCTGGTCCCAATTGCAGTGATAGATTAAAGACCACCTGCATCTAATACTGCAAGCATATAGTATATTTGATAATCCTGTGACTTCTTGGTCTTCATGGGACTGATCATTCTCTCTTTCCTATCCCATTGCGCTTTGTAATAGATTTAACTTCGGTGGGTAGCTGGAATAGAGGGAAAGGGATGCAATAATAGTAGTTCCTCGTTCAAAGAAGTAATGAAAAAGTCAGAGAAGTAGAGATTTCCCTATGCCAGAAGATGTTAATATAACTTTATGGTGGAAAGGAAGGGAAGGGAAGGGAAAGGAAAGGAAAGGAAAGAGGAAAAGGAAGATATATTTGGGAATTCTACCGTTTTAATTATGAATTGATTAGTGGATATGCCCTTAGGAGAAAAAGATAATTTTTCTCCATTCTCACGACTTTGCCAGCTGGCAACCATTTTGTTATAAAATGCTATGGTGCAGGAGGTTGGAACCAAATACCAATAATGTGAATGGGTTTAGGGCAAAGTAGAACTAGACTGAAATAATGTGCAATTTTTCTCTGGGTTGTTTCCAGATAATCCAGAAGTTCTTGATCAGACCAGACCCGCAGTGCACTGATGTGAAGTCTGTTTCCCGTATTGTGCTGGTGCCAGACAAGCCTATTAACTTGGATTTCTTTGACCGACAAACAAGGCCTTAATGTTTTTTATTCAGCCTGAGACAGCAGAGATTTAGAGAATCAGTTCTGGGATTGGATTGTGTTCTTGAGGAGCTCCACTCTTCAGGCGGGATTCTGTCTAAAAGTTGTCCATCCTACCTATACAGGCTTCCCTCAAAGAGTACACCCATAATATTGATTGACACCATCCCACTTTCCTGTTCCTGGGCTTCCAATAACCAAAGTTCAGAAGTACAGAACAAAACCAGCTATGTCACACCTTGGGCTAGCCACTTTCTCTCAGCCCTAACAAGGAGGCAATGGCAAACCACTTCTGAAAGACCTTGCCAAGAAAATTGTAGTGACTTATTCAGGCAGTCTCTGAGAATCTGACACAACCAAATGGGGGGGAAAAAACCCAATCCTTGCTTCAAGCAATTTAAAAAACTCTTTTGATGGGAGGAGGCCATCATGTATTCAATTCTACATGTCCCCTCCTTTCAAAGAAGTGTGTGTAGGATGTGCGGTTCATACTATTGCCACATCATCCTTATATATTGGGAAATGATGTAATCCTTCTTCCAAATGTTACTAATCTAATTACTCCAGACTGAGAGCAGAGACGGGAGCTGAAACTCCACTTCAAACAGTGAAAGTGTAACTTCTTCCCTGGATTTTGTACACTGAGGTGCAAATTTCAGAAGGGAAGATACCTTTACACATACAGCTAAGGCTTTCTTCATGTGTAAGTTCATGCTCCATATATGAGTGCTGAGGAAGATCTTACACGAGTGCCATCTGCATCATGAACCACATCTTTGCGAGTGATCCCTAGAGAAGTTGGCAATCACTGATTTGGAGGCTGTGGTTTGTTATTCTTTGTTTCGTTAATGCAATCAGAGTACAGGTACTTAGTACATTTATTTTAACATTAAAAAATAGCCAGAAAAGCACATAGGTTTACATATGAAATAAACATATGCACTAATTGTAATAACTAATATCATTAATATTGCTTGTGGGATGACTGGAATATAATTATCTAAGGAAAAGCATTCTTTTTTGGCTGGATGCAATATAAATGTAACAAGGACAACTCAGATATAATACTGTATATTCACACCAGGATGCTACTGTATATAACAGGTAGAGCGAGGAATTAGCGATTCAAACATATAGTCAGCCATGAAGGTGATTAAGGTACGTCTTTCAGCCAAACCTCCATCACAAAGTTCTGAGAATAAAATTTACTTCCACATAGGTTTCCTTATAAGAAAAGAAAATGAAAAAAATATGTAAATTATGAAGTATATTCCCACTACTGGATATATTAGTAGGAAATACATTTATCTGATTTCTAAGAAGCCTCTATAAATTTGTCCAGGAGCAAGCTGATATGCAAAAACCAGCAAATTAATTGGTTGTTAAGACTACCAGATCTACAGATTAAGACACCTGGGCAGAAACTGGGAGACCCTGAATTCTAGTCCCACTTTAGACATGAAACCAACTGGATGACCTGGGCCAGCCACTCTCTCTCAGCCTTAGGAAGCAAGTAGCTGCAGAGCAGTTCTGAAACTCTTGCCAGAAAAACTGTGGGAGCTGGTCCAGACAGTCATCAGGAGTCACTACTGAAAGGTTTGTACACACACACATACACACAGGCTGTTTAGAACATGGAAGCACTGACTGAAAAGTCAGTCTTAGCATGTGCATGTGCAAACACACACATACAGACACATTTACTATAATAGAGGAAGAAGTCAAAATGAAGAAACAAAAATATTACTGGAGCTTTAAAATGCATCAAGTTGTTTGTATCACAAGCTATTTATTTACAGTTTATTGAACACAAAAATGTTGAAGGCCTGACTGTTAACACTGGTATGTTGTGTTTCTGGCCTCTATGCAGGCACATCTGTTGGTGTAATGGAATGAAACTGGAAACAAAATTTTAAATAGCCCCACATGATCATGAAATACAGTAGTCTTTTTTTTAATTTAGGTACCCAAACAGCTAGCCAGTAAGGCACACAAGCTGTTACTGCTATCAATATCACTGCCATTCTGATGTAAATATAATTAAAGCTACAGAAAAATTGGGCTCAAACTGAAAATGATTTCGGGACTTCAACTCTTACACCAGAGTGGTGAGCCTATGGTCTCCAGATCTTGCTCAGAGCTCTAATTCCCAGCAGCTTTAACCAACATGGCCAAAGATGCTACATCAGTATAAGTACATCATCATACAAACCCAACACACTACTACTTCCAGGATAAGAAGCATGATGTAATATAGAGAAAAGTCAGGAATAGTAAGACGAATCAATTAAAGCCTTGAGATTGAAAGTGAAAAGTAACACTTATTTATACCCGGAAAATTCACTATACGTCTCTGTGCCTTTCTATACTTTCCCCATGCCTATACACTGCTTTTATATATAAAAAAAAACACCTCCATTAGGCGATGAAAATTTGGAAAATTCAGGTTGCTGAGATCAGGGATGTGGGAGGTCAAACTTTTTTTCAACCGAAATGCAAAAAAAAGATGCTGGGACCAGATTCATGATTAAATTTCATGTTTAAAAATGGTGGTTACTTTTTAAAATATTGACCAAATATCGACTCCAGCTATGAAAATTCAGAAAATTCATGTTGCCAAGGTCAGGGATGTGGGAGGATGGGCAGCCAAAAATGTTTTCAACCGAAATGCTAAAACGGATGGTGGGACCAGTTTCGTGGTTAAATTTCATGCTTAAAAATGGTGTTGGTTGCTATTAAAAATATCAATCAAATATCGACTCCAGCTACAAAATTTGCGTTGCCAAGGTCATGGACATGGGAAGGCCAGGAGGCCAAAGAATTTTTCAACCAACATGCTAAAACAGATCCGTGTCATCTTTCAGGGTTGAAGTTCATACTAAAAAATGGTGTTGGCTGCTTTTTAAAAAATGGACCAAATATCAACTCCAACTACGAAAATTTGGAAAATTCATGTTGCCAAGGTCAGGGATGCAGAACGCTGGGAGACCAAATTTTTTTTCAACCAGATTGCTAAAATGGATGCTGGGACCAGATTTCTGGTTAAGTTTCATGCTTAAAAATGTTTGTTGCTTTTAAAAAAAATTCGGTCCATATTTCGTCTCCAGCAACAAAAAATCATAAAATTTGTGTTGCTAGGGTGAAGGATGTGAGAGGTCAGGAGGCCAATTTTTTTTTCAACCGAAATGCTAAAACGGATCTCGTGTCAACTTTCTGGGTTAAATTTCATGCTTAGAAATGGTGTTGGTTGCTTTTTTTTTTTTAAAAAAAGGAAGCAAATATCGACTCCAGCTATGAAAATTCAGAAAATTCGTTGCCAAGATCAGGGAGGCCAAAAAATTTTTCAATCAAAATGCTTACTTTCACAGGGCATTTTCTTGCAACCATCATCCAAAAACTGACATACAGATAGTCCACAACTTTCAACAGTTCACTGAAAAAAGTGACATGATCATTTTTCACACTTATGATCATTGCAGCATCCTCATGGTCACCTAATCAAAATTCAGATGCTTGGCAACCCACTCATATTTGTGACAATTGCAGTGTCCCAGGGTCATGTGATCCATTTTTGTGATTTTCTGACAAGTAAAGTCAATGGGGAAGCCAGATTTATTTAACAATGTTACTGACTTAACTGTAATGATTCACTTAACAACTGTGGCCAGAAAGGTGGTAAAATGAGACAAAACTCACTTAACAAATATCTCACTTAGCAACATAAAAATTTGGCTCAATTATGGTCGTAAGTCAAGGACTACCTGTTCTTCATATTCACCACAGCTAACTTTTAATTTGGATTGCAGGGATTGCTTTCAGACGGGTCTTTTGAGTCCCAATGATCGTATTATTTGAAACTGGAGTTTTTCTTATTTATATCCATCTCTATTTTGCCCACACAGATATGATATACTGTAACTCCTACACATCCCCTAGATAACGTAACTTTTGTAGAGTCATTATATGCATGTACATTTTAACAGATTTTTAAAATTAATGTCAAATTGTTTCCATATGGTTAAGAAAAAAACAAAATGAAAACTTTGTAGCTACATAAATGCATTGATACTGTATAATAATACTGTGTGCACATATATAATATACTGTTATGTAATTGACTAAAATAAATGAGAGCTGCCACTACAAAAATAATGAATTTTGCAGGACACTATAAAACTTTCCCATTGGTTCCCTTAACCATCACAGTCTGGTTTAGAAGCATCACTGCTTCAGACAGGAAGGCGGTGCAGAGAGTAGTGAAGATGGCTGAAAAAATCATTGGCAGCTCCCTCGCTCCCATCCAGGACATAGCATATAAGCGTTGCTTGAGCAGGGTTCGCAAGGTTGTCTGGGACACTACACATCCTCTTCACGACCTGTTTTCCTTGCTACCTTCTGGGAGGAGGCTTCGTGGTATCCGAAGCAGAACATCCAAATTCAGTCACAGCTTTGT